GAGCTGGCAAAAAATAAAATAGCCAATGGCAGGGTTCGATCCCATAACCTACGAACCGGCCACGCAGAGTTTGTTAAACTGACCCAGCTAGAGATATACCTATACCTACCTACTATTAAAGGGAGGTGATATTCTTGGTTTCGTCCCGCTTTGTTTGGTCCCGCTTCAATTAATTTCACTTATGCTATTTAGTTTCGTTACTTATCACCCGTTTTGGCCCAACGAAGGGAGCCCACCTGACGGTGCATTGTGGCCCAGGTCCGGAGAGCTAGCAAAAAATAAATAGCCGATGGCAGGGTTCAATCTAAGAACCCGCGAACCGGCCACACACAGTTTGTTCAACTGACCCAGGTAGAGATATGAGAGGATTTTCTTTCTCTCGTTGCAATGCACGGGCCTTTTTCCTAGTGAATTGCAAAAGGGTCGTGGGGTGAACCCAGCCACACATGACTCAAGATGGCAACGGGGACGAGGATCATCGGGGGGCACGCCACCATCCTCGCCCCGATACCCGCTAATACACGTCCCTGCTAGCCCAACCAACCTTGGCGGGGAGGGGGGGGGGACAATCCCCATCCCCGCTAACAACGGGTACCCGATCCCCATGGAGACCAACAACAGTAAAAGAGGAGCACAAACCACAATATTTTTTTGACAGATTCAATCATCCGTTATAGCAACAAAACATCAATACATTGGCATAACAAACCAAAATAATTTTTGTAGCAATCTTCCCGTACAGAAGCACAAACACATTACACATCAGTAAATTAGCAGCACAAACACAATAATTTTGACAAATTTAATTATCCCATGTCTGACCATAATAAGTTTGACAGATTCAACCATCTCAACTCAAGTCTAACCACATAATTGATAAACTGGAAGTACGATTGGCACAAACGACAACACTTTGTACGATTACAAGCCGAAAGTTCTAATTCTTAACATAACACAAGCATGGTAAGCAGAATAAATGAAATGAAGACTTGAAGAGCCCATCACAGTAGCTCCTCGGTCCTCCATTTTATTCATTCATGACTCCATGGAAGAAAGCAACAAGCCTAATAGTTATTGCAAGTGGAGAGTTCCTCATCCTGATCATGGAAATAGTACAAGATAATTTAGAAAGTTGCATGAAATCAAGACATAAGATTGAAAGTTGCATGTGCTAGTTGCAAATGAAATCAAGACATAAGATGAGATTGAGAATGTCAAGTTACCATTGGTTCGTCCTCATCATCAAGACAAGTTTGAAACTCAGTAGACAGTGATGAATTGTTCTCACCTAAAATTGCAAAGAATGTAAAATTAGATGGTAGTAGTGTAACTGATTTAGGTATATATTCTAGTAAATTATCTAAGTAAAAATAAGTAGTGTAACAACAACACAATAGCAGTAAAATAGGAGCAAAAGAGCAACATTTGAATTGTCTTGCCTAGCATGTCAGCATTAGACCAAGCCTGCATACACATTATAGCTTCAACCATCTTTGGTGCAAGCCTACTGCGGTGAGGGCTAAGGATTCTACCACTTGTAGAGAATGCAGATTCCGATGCTACTGTTGTGACCGGAATAGGCAAGATGTCATGAGCAATAAGCTGTAGAGTTGGATATTTTATCCCCCCAAACTTCCACCAATTGATGATATCAAAATCAAGTGTTCTTGGCAAAACTGGCTCTTCTAAATACATGTCTAGCTCTGTATGAACCAGGAAAGATGAAGCAGTAGGTTGTGAAGACATGTACTGTTCAAATATGTCAAAAACTTCTTCCTGTGAAGCTGAAGAAGTGGGTTGTGAAGCACTAGCAACATTTGATGTTCCCGCAGAAGAGGCATCTTGGTATTGAACCAACAGTTCTCGGAGCAATTGCTTCACGTGCGCAACCTCTTGAATTGCAGCCTCAGGTCCATAGAGAGGACCGTACAAAGCCTGCACCATATGGAGTTTGTACCTTGGGTCAAGAACAGTGGCAATAGCCATCAGACCATGGATATATCCAGTACTTCTGAAACTTCTTTTTCATCTCCTCGGACATTTGTTGCATCGGTTCGTCCTTCTTTTTCATCTCATCGGGCATATATTGCAACAGCTCATAATCAGGTGTAGTCCATTTGTGAATTGCTAACTTAATACGACAAACATTAGGGAGGAACATATTTGCTGTAGCATAACTAGTTCCCGACCATAAGGTAGTGACATCATAGAATAATTTGAGCCTAACAATCATCTCTTTGGCAAAATCCCAATCAGCAGTTGTTGGACAGCAATTAAAAAGCCTTTCACGCAGACTAAGACGATCAAAAACATCCCTATACAGCACATCAATACTAAGCATTATGTATGTGGAGTTCCACCTAGTTTTACAATCAAGGTTCAATCTCCTAGAGTACTCAATGTTCATCAAGCGACAAGTTTTTTCGAACTTCTCATGTCTTTTTGGAGTTGTTGACCAAACCCCACACTATCCCGCACCCTCTCAATACCATCCCCCAAAACAACAAGCCCATCTTTCACAATTAGATTTAATACGTGAGCACAACACCGCATATGCAACAGTTTACCACCTAGCATGAGAGAGGAGGAGTCTAACTTATCTAGGAGATCTTCCACTTCCTTGTCGTTGGTTGTTAAGTTATCAAGAGTAATGGTTGATATCTTTTTCTCAAGATGATACTCTACCAGAACTTCATGTAGAACATCACAAATCACTTCAGATGTATGTGGTGCTGGTACATATACAAACCTGCAAAATTATAAGTTATTGGGTTAGAAAGCATGAATAAGAGCAAAGGTATTCAGACATGCAGTAAGATAGGGGCAATGGTATTGTACCTTAGAAGGAATGACTTCAGATTCCAAGAACCATCAATGTAGTGACTTGTTACAGCCATGTATCCTCTCTTTTGATGTCCAACGGTCCACATATGCGAAGTCACAGCAACTCTATTCTTGAAGTTTGCAAAGTACTTGATCAACTTATCTCTTTGCCCTTC